TCCAGAAGCTACATGATGTGTGACACTGCAACAGACTGAATTCAGAAGCAGATATGTGGGTCCAGCTCTCTTTTCAAACATTTAAGAGATGTGCAAAAATGAAAGAGATCCAAATCAAAACAACAGTGAGATACCAACTCACCCCAGCACTGATGGCAAGGTTCAATGAGACAGAAATAACAAATGCTGGTGGGGATGTGGAGAGATTGGGACTCTCATATACTGCTGGTGGAATTGTGAAGTGATACAACCACTGTGGAAAGCAGTATGGCAATTCCTTAGTAAGCTGGAATTGGATATACCATTTGACCCAGTGATCCCATTACTAGGTATATATCCTAGAGAGGTGAGAGCCAGGACAAGAATACATATATGCACACCCATGTTCATTGCAGCACTATTTACAATATCAAAAAGATGGAAATAGCCTATGTGCCCATCAGCAGAGGAGTGGATGACCAAACTATGGTGCATACGCACAATGGAATGCTAGCAGCACTAAAGAATAATGTAGAGTCTGCAAAACACTACATAACGTGGATGAACTTGGAGCACATTATGCTGAGTGAAATAATTCAATCACAGGACAAATAAAGTATTAGTTCGTTGTTGTGGAAGGTCAAGGAAAGGTCTATATATGGAGGGAAACTTTCTTTGTTGGTTGCCAGGGGTGGGAGGGGAGGGGAGGGAACACTGAAAAAAAAAATGCATTGACCCATGTCACTTTAGTTTTGTGTATTTCACTGTACATAAATTATATTTCAATAAAATGCATTAAAATAAAGGAAAAAAGAGAGATGTGCAAAAGTGTAAAACAATGATACTGTTCCCACTAATTTTTTTTTCTTTTGGAAAATAGCTATTTTCCTAAAAATATTTGTCAACACGAACTCTTATTGCTTTAAATTGAATTAATAAAGACATTTTTTATAGTCTCCATTTTAAATTTCTAATGCAGTAAATACCAGTAGGTACAAATCACATAGAAACTCATTGGGGTCCTCACTTTTTAAAAATGCAAGGGGGTGCTGAGATCAAGAAAGTTTGAGAACTATTGTTGAGAAAGATGGACATACAGACAGATGTGTACAATAGACTTTTGTGCTGTGAAAGAGGATAGAATGTTGTGGGGAACCTGCACTGAGTTTTGTACACCCTACTGCCTTATTTTGGCAGCTGATTGAGCCTGTTGCTTTAGTGATGTCTCAGAGAACTCAAAGTTAGATGCATTGTGACAGATGTGAGCCTAGTCTCAGGAGACAATCCCATTGGGACACAGCATACAACATGAGGGCACAGGGCATGAAGTATCCACCTCCTTTAGGACTAGAGAACACAGGGCAGATTAGGGCAATTTGAAATTGGTTTTTCCACTTTTCTGGGAGAAAGGAGGGTCTTGGTTATTAGGAGTGTGTGTGTGTGTGTGTGTGTGTGAGAGAGAGAGAGAGAGAGAATTAACTGCCATGCCTCTTCATTTTCATAATTAAAACTTCTGTAAAATCCCAAGGGTAAGTCATGTTAAAAGAGGAACAGATACACTTTGCATTGTTCATTTATTTACCTCCCTTGAAGTTTTGCAAGAAACACATGCAGAGAGGAAATGGTAAGGCTTTGGCCTCAGACCTCAGGATTTAAAATAAAAAAATCCCCAGGTCAGCTGGGCTCCTCCAGGAGAAAGCTTTACATACTGAAAGAGACTGAGTTACTCACTGTGCTCCGTTTATCCAGGCCACACCCAAACTCTGACCACCCAAGCATTGAGAGAGGCCAGCCAGAGCACGCAGGAGAGAAAGGACAGCAAATGATAAGCAGAACTGAGTGTTGGATGGATCATCAATTTCTCACTTACCTGGTTAGGCTGGGCACCTGCTCCAGGTTCAGTTGACCTCATCAGCTACAGGAGAGTCTCAAGGGATCCCAAAGGCAAGGAAAACAAGAACCTGAGGGCTGAGCCTTCCTGTGCCCAGCCATGTGGATGGAAGGAAAACATCCCCAGGGACCACCCCAGGTGGCCTCCTATTAGTGTTACCATTTGCAAGACATCTTGAAAGCACCATTCCCCATACTGTGCCCCTAAGGAACAGCTTTTCTACTGGGAAGATAGGGCTATTCTTAACGTGGTGTGGTGGTTAAGTTTGTGTGTTAACTTGGCTGGACCTGGTTGAGTGTCTGGGCAGCTGAATGTAGTTATTCCCCATGGTGAGGTTGGTAATTAACTCTGTGGTGGACTCTATTGGAGCAACTGAGTAGCTGCTTTGGGTATGTGGTCTGCTTCTTGTGTATAAGAAACAGCTTTGCGAATGGTCTCGAGCTTATGGCATGCTTGAACCCTGCATGTAGCCATGTCATTGTTCAGCAGCCTGACATGCTCTGCCCACCTTGGGACCTTTAATGGACTTGAATTAATGACCTGCTGTGTGGTTTGGTAACATCGGGACTGTGCCTTATTACTTGTCAACTTTGGGCTTGTCAGCCTCAGCAGCCAGTAGCTGAGTGAAAAAAAGCCTCCAGCTTCAGTGGGCCAGGAGCAGGAGGCAGAGCTGAAGCCCAAAGTTGAGGGGTTTTCACCCATCCCCTAGAGCCTGGCACTTTAAACTCAGACTTAAAGCCTCCAAACTATAAGAGAATAAACTCCTGTTTGTTCAAGCCATCCCATTTGTGGTATATTCTTGTCAGAGTGGCACTAGGTAACCAAAACACCTGGGGACCATGGGTGGGCTCGGAGAGTCCTTATTTGTCCAGACATTGGGTGGGTATGCTATTTTCTGGAAAGAAGGTCTGAAGTTTTCATCAAATTTTCAAAGGTACAGGGAGGAAGGCCTTGCTCAAAAAAGTTTAAGAATCACTGTCTTAGAAGCCAATATTAGTTGTAACTGCTCTAGTGAGGGTTTTTAAAAAATTCCATTCAGTAACATTAATTCAACCAGTGGCTGAATTCTCCATGCCAGGCTCAGTGCTAGGGGCTGGGATACGATCATAAGCAAGGACACATATATGTGATCTGTGTGCCACTGAGGAACACAGATAGAAATAAAATTTGAAGGAGGGGAATCTCCTATGAGGGATATAACTTAGTGGATGTTTAATTTTTGTTTATATATATAATTTATTTATGTTTGATGGGTAACACATTCACATGGTTCAAAAATTCAAGAGGATTATATGGTAAGTAATCTCCCTCCTACCTTTATCTTCCAGGCACTCCCTGTAGATCATACATGTTTCATAAACTGTTGAGTAGACCTTCTACTGTTAGATCCAGGGTGGAGGGTTAGAGAAAGCTTGCCTGAGAATATGATGCTTGAAATGAATTTGAAGCATGAATGTGTATTAACTGGCTGGAATAGAGATAAAGGAAGTATTCTAGACAGAGGGAACAGCTTGTGCAAAGACCTTGTGGCAGGAAAGAGAGTGGTGTATTAGAAGAACTGAAAAAAAGCCCATATAGCTGGAGTGCAGAAAGCAAGGTTAAGAGCGGTCCAGGAGGAAATCATGCTCCATTGACATAACATACTATACAAAAACAGTGTTCTACATCCTACTTAGGTGAGTAGCAACTGGGGTCTTAAAGGCTTGCAAGCAGCCATCTAGATGCAACAATGGGTCTCTCCTCATCCAGAACAAACAAAAATGAAGAAAACCAAAGACACATGGAAACAATTAGTCCAAGGGCCTGGTAGACCATGTGATCCTCAGCCTTTATGACCATGAGACTGGAAGAACTAGATGGCGCCCAGCTACCACTGTGAACTACTCGGAGGGGGATTGGTGCAGGTGATCCTGGATAGAGTGGGAGAACAATGTGGAACAGAACTCAAAATCATTAAAAAAAAAAGGGGGGGGGCCCGATTTTCTGGTCTGATAGAGCCTGGTGAGACTCCTGAGACTATGGCCCCTAGTGACCTTCAGGTCTGGGACTATACTCACTCCTGTGGCTTCCAGGCAAACAATAGACAGGCATATAGGCTGAACACTTATATCAGGTAGATAGACTCCTTGCAGTGATCAGTCATGGAAGAACAGAAGAGCAGTGTTTGCACAGGAAGACAGCTGGGGTTTAGGAGAGTGGATGGGAGGGAAGGACACAGGGAAGAGGTAACTATAGGGAGGAAGTGGGGAGAGAGCTATTACATTGTGGGTAATTGCAGTCAGTGTCATGAAACAAAATGTGTATGAACTGCTGTATAGAAAATGAATTTGCTCTGTAAACTTTCACCCAAATCATGATAAAAATTTAAAAAGGAAAGAGTGGTCCAGGATGTTGTTTGGGAGTAGAGCAGGCAGCCCATGTCTTGTAGCTTGTTTAGGATTCTGGACTTTGCCCCAAGAACCCAGGAAACCACTGAAAGATTTTTAAGCAGAGGAGATAACCAGAATCATTCTTACATTTTGAGAATACCACCCAGACTGTAGTATGGAGAATAGATTGGAAGGGAAAGTAGTTCATGAGTTCTTATTTTGTTCTGGTAAAAAATGATGGAGCTTGGTGGTGGAAATAGATGGATTTGAGTGCAAATTTCTTGCTTCTGAAAACTTTTACCTTAATGCTGAAATATTTGTTCACTTATCTCCACTGAGTTTGCAAAAAAAAAAAATCCATAAAAATAAATTTATTAATTATTTTATTGTATTATGTATTTATTTTATTCTAAGATTTGCTTAGAATGTATTTAACACCCAGCTATATTGTCCAAGGATGTGGCAAAGCTGGTGAGGTAATTCAGCATCATGTAAAAAGCTGATGGACAAAGAGCTGAAAGAGCATAGATTCTTGCTAACAGCATGTGGTGCAGACTGCCACCCATGCACTCCAGAGGCATCTCACCTCTGTGGGGCCGTCCAGTGACAAGAGGTTTCTACTGCTGTTACTAAGTCATACCAGAATGACCATGGAGGTGATGTTCACTGATTATGAAACAAATCATTAAAGCACTTGATGGTCGTAGTTGTTTTGGTGTTGCGTACACTTAATTTTCCTTCTCTTTCCATGACCTTGCAGCATGGCTTATTCTGAAGAGCAAGGACGTGTCCCCTGTGGTTTCATCCGCCAGAATTCTAGCAACTCCATTTCTTTGGACTTTGAGCCCAACACTGAGTACCGGTTTGTGGAACGATTAGAAGAGCGCTACAAATGTGCCTTCTGCCACTCAGTGCTTCACAATCCCCACCAGACAGCGTGTGGGCACCGCTTCTGCCAGCACTGCATCCTGTCCCTGAGGTGAGCGGTCAGGGCCTGCAGCTTCTGCCCTGGCAGGCCAGAGCCAGACGATGGTGGGGAGGGGTCTGGGATATAAGTGGGGGGTGGGAGCTGTCTGGGATCTAAGTGTGCGTAGGGGGTTGAGGTGTTTAGGATGTAAGTGTGGGGGTGTTTCCTGGTATCTTAGTGTCAGCTGTGCCCATTCAGCTGTAATCAGGGTTTTCAAAATTACTCTCTTCAGCCACAGCACCCTGAATATGAGGAGAGGCTCCCCAGGACTCCTCCTTGGCCTGAGAAATCACCTTCATTTTTTTGCCACTCATGTATAGATATTCACTTTTTCCTAAAATTCAGGCCCCACCTATTATGCCTGTGAGGGCAAACCTAAGTGCACAGTCTATGTTGGGGAGTTCGAAGTTCAGAAGGACCTGTGTCTCCTTAGTGTCTTTGTTGTAGTCCCTTAGCCTTTCTTTCCTTGCATTAAGACAGAGGTGTATCATCCAGAAGGAACCTTGCCCACATGGATGCTGTCCCTCTTGGGCATCTTTAAACCTGGGGCATGCTTTTTTTTTGAGGACATGAGGAGAGAGATGGAAACAGAATTTTGGACTTTGTAGGGTGGGGCAGGAAGCACATTATTGCATTCAACCAAGCTTTGAAAGGGGGTAGTTGAGGTCTTGTTTTTTACAACACATTCTCATTCATTCGTGTGTTTATTCATTCTGCACCTGTGCGTTCCAGGCACTTTGCCAAGTTCTACTGTACAGAGTTGCAGCACTAGAGGTACAGTGTGGAACAGACCCTGTTTCTGCCCTCTAGAACTTCCCGTCTAGTGAAGGAAACAGATTCTAATCCAGTGTGATAAGCAAAAAGCTCTGCAAAGAGCCATGGGAGCACAAGCAGGGGGCTACTTAAGTCTGTCCAGGGGCTCAGTATTTGACTTGGGTCCTGGAGGATGAGTAGGAGTTCTTTCAACAGACTGGGAGCCTGAGGAGGTGCTGTGGTAGGGGGTGGGGACCTTCTGAGTAGAGGGGACAGCATGTGCAAAAATTAGGAGGAAGAAGAAAAGGGAGCATCTTCTAAAGGAGAGACTGTAGAGGTTAAAGTGTGGCTGGAGTGCTGGGCCTGCACTTGTTAAAGTGGTTGAGGTAGATGCCTGACACTGGCTTATTTTTATTTTTCTCTCCAGAGAATTAAATGCAGTGCCAATCTGCCCTGTAGATAAGGAGGTTATCAAATCTCAGGAGGTAAGAAAATCACAGCTTTGGTTTAGCAGCCTTTGGGGGGATGAAGAAGAAGCTAGAATCCAGTTTGACATGGACACAGAGGTTGGAGCAGGAAAGTGGGAGATGGAGACCATTCTTGAAATCCATACCCTCTGCTGTAAGGTCAGGTCAGGCCCCACTCCTACATTTATTTGGGAGAGACTTGCTTGAGTCTTCCCCGGTACCACCGAGTCTCCTCTCCTGCTTCCTCCTTACCTGCTTCTTTCACTAGCTCCAGGCACACTGAGTGCTTAGAGAAACAGAACATCTTATTTCCTGGAATTCCCTTTCTCATCTGATTCATCTCTAAAATTTAACTGTAGTAGTAATAGTAGTAAAAACTTTATTCAGATATAATTCACATACCATAAAAGGTACCTTGTAAAGTGTGCAATTCAGTAGTGTTTAGTATATTCAAAGTTATGGAGCCATCACCCCTATCTAATTTTATAATATTGTCATCACCCCAAAAAGAAACCTGTACATATGAGCAGTCATACCCTATTCCTTCTTTTTCCTGCCCTTGGTAACTAGCCACTAATCTTCATCTCTATCAATTTGTATATTCTAGATTATTTCATATAAATGTGGTCTTTTGTGACTGGCTCTTTTCACTTAACAATGTTCTCAAGATTCATCCACGTTGTAGCATGTATCAGTAATTCATTCTGTTTTATGGACAAATTATATTCCATGTATGGATATACCACATTTGGTTTATCCATTCATCCATTGATGGACATTGGGTTGTTTCTACTTTTTTTGGCTGTTGTGAATAATGCTGCTATGAACACTCATGTATAGGTTTTTATCTGGACATCTTTTTTCACTTTTCTTGAGTATATATGTAGGTGTGGAATCACTGGGTCATATGGTAACTCCACATTTAACATTTTAAGTAGTTCCCTGTTAGGAACCCTGGTGGTACATTGGTTAAGTATTCAGCTGGTAACCAGAAGGTCTGGCTATTTGAACCCACCAGCCGCTCTGCGGCAGAAGATGAGGGAGTCTGTTTCTGTAAAGATTTACAGCCTTGGAAATGCCTTGGGGCAGTTCTACTCTGTCCTGTAGGGTTGCTATGAGTCAAAATTGACTTGATGGCAGTGACTTGGTTTGGGGCCTATTTTCCACAGCGGCTGCACCATTTCACAACCCCGACAGTAGTAAGAGAGTTCCAGTTTCTCGACAACCTCATCAAGGTCGTCTTTTTGATCATAGCCATCCTACTAGGTGGTTTCTCATTGTGGTTTTCATTTGCATTTCCCTAATAACCAATGACATCTTTTCGTGTGCGGGATGGCCATTTTGTATGTCTTCTTTGGAGAAATATCTACTTACATCTTTTGTCCATTTTTGAATTAGGTTGTCTTTTTATTGTGGAGTTGTAAGAGTTCTTTTATATATTTTGAGTACAACTCCCTTGTCGAATACATGATTTTCAAACATTTTCTCCCATTCTGTGTGTTATCTTTCCATTTTCTTGACAGTGTTCCTTGAAATACAAAATTTTTAATTTAGGTGAAGTCCAGTTTATCTTTTTTTTCTTGTTGTTGCTATGCTTTTGGTGTCATGTCTAAGAAACTATTGCCTAACTCAGTGCCCTGAAGATTTACTCCTTTAAAACTTCCTTTTAACCTCACTTATCTTCATTTAAAATTACACTCAAACATCACCTCCTCCAGGAAGCTTTTCCTGAGCATCTAGTCTGATATATATGCTCATTCTCTATTTGCTTATGATGTGTTTACACAACACTACCTACCAGAAGACTGTGTTGTATATAGTGTCTATCTCACCCACTAAAACAAGGGTTGGCAAATTACAACCCTTGGGCTAAATCCAGACCACCATTTATTTGATTTTGTATGGTCCATGAGCTAAAGATAAAGTCCCCATGTGTTACAAAGAGTTTATTGTCTATTACTAACCTAAAGGTTGGTGGTTCAAACTCACCCAGTGGCACTGTGATAGAAAGCCCTGGTAATCTGTTTCTATAAAGATTACCTTATGGAAATAGATTACCCAGTCTTCCTTCCACAGTGTGGCTAGTGGGTTTGAACCGCTAACCTTCTGCCTAGCCGTCGAATGCCTTAGGCACTATGTCACCAGAGCTCCTATAAGAAAATTCTATGGAGCACTGTTCTGCTCTGTAACAAATCGGTTCACTGTGAGTTGGAATTGACTCAATGGCAACTGGTTTAATTTTGGTTTATGAGCCAAAGATGGTTTTTACATTTTTAAATAGTTGAAAAGAATCAAAAGTAGGTTATACAGGAGCTCTTTGTACTAGTTTTACAACTTTTTATGAATCTTAAACTATTTCAGAATAAAAATTTATTTTAAAAAATCTAAAGAAAATGATTTCATGACTTGAAAATGGTTTAAATTCAGATTTCAGTGTCTGTAAATAAACAATGGTTATTAGAACACAGCCGGGCCCATTTGTTCAAGTGTTTGTGTATGGCTGTTTTTGCACTACAGTGGCAGAGTTGAGTAGTTGTGCTATAGACTATGTGTGGCCTACAAAGCCAAAAAGATTTACTCTCTGGCCCACTTCAGAGAAAGTTTGCCAACTCCTGACTTGTGCTGAAATAACAAGTCAACACAGCTGAGGTGACACTAGTGATCAGTAAGTAGTACAAGCGTTTACCCTGGGATAGGAAGCTGAAAGTATCATCTTGGCCACAACCTTAGCTCCTGACCTTGAAGCATGTGGGGTCAAGTTCACATGTGATTCTCCTAGCTGCACCCTGCTGCTCTGGGCAGCTCTGAGTTACCAGCAATATGTATGTGAGAGAGCTTTTTCTTGCATTCTGCTGGTGAGTCTGATATTTCCATTCCAACCACTGTCTGGAAGTTTCCACCCAACTTTGGAGATAAACTTAGAGACCAAATTAATAATAGCTTTTTTTGCATTGTTATAGAGTTGTAAGAGTATGTGTGATCTATAATGTTTATTTTTTAGGTGTTTAAAGATAATTGCTGCAAAAGGGAAGTCCTCAATTTATATGTATATTGCAAAAATGCTCCTGGATGCAATGCCAAGATTATTCTGGGGCGATATCAGGTTGGTATTATTCATGAACAATATTTGCCTTTATCATTTTTCCAGTGACATGTATTGAACACCTTTATGTGGCATTACTAACCATTGTAGGGGATTTACTGGGTTTACTGTCAGAAAATATACAGTCTAGCGACACAGTTGGCTGCGTGTAGGAGTGGGTGGAGAAGTTCATTCTGTGTGAATACATGGAGGACATGCCATATGTGTTAGACTTTAATATATGAGTTAGGGAGCTTAGAACCAAAAGATAAGATATGGGGCATACTAGACAAAAGGAACACTTAAGTAAGGACATGTTACATTGAGGGAACCATGAAGGATTTGGAGGGCCTATTATGGGAGCCAGTGCAAACTTTGTGGATCACAAAGATCTGATCTACAACCCATCATGGGGATGACACAGAACTGGAAAGCATTTTGTCCCATTGTGCATGTGGTCACTATGAGTCTGGGGCTGACTCATCAGCAGCCAACAACAACAGAGTGTGGGAGCAAGAGGATGAGTGCAGGTGGTGGTGATCTGAGCTGTGATTGTAACCAGCCCTGCCCTAAAGCATTTGCCCCTTACCACAGCTGTGATGGGTGTTTTCCAGCAGGAGCTCTGGTGGTGTAGTGCCTAAGGCATTTGACTGCTACCAGAAGGCTGGTGATTCAAACCCACCAGCCACTCCTTGGAAGGAAGACTGGGCAATCTACTTCTGTAGAGATTAAAAATAAAAAATAAAAAAACACTGCCATCAAGTTAGATCTGACTCCTAGTGACCCCTCCTTGGGTTTCTGAGGCGGTATCTATGGAAGTAGAGTGCCCAACCTTCCTTCCAAGGATGGGCTGGTGGGTTTGAACCACCAGCCTTCTGGTTAGCAGTCAAATGCCTTAGGCACTATGCCACAAGAGCTCCTAACTAGAGATACTGCCTCAGAAATCCATAGGGTCGCTATGAGTTAGGATGACTCAGACTCAACGGCAGTGAGTTTGATTTTGGGGTTTCTTTTGTGTGTGCCCTGGTCTCTCAGAGTTTATGACCTAACATGGACCAGATAACAGAGATCAGGTGTACTTTAAATGTGAAGCATTGATAAAAGATGCAAATAAGCCAGTATTTTCTGTAGGTGAAGGGAGTTCAGTTCCTTTCAAATGAAACTACCCTACCTTGCTCTTCCCTCCAGCTGGGGAAGCAGGTTGTTGGTGGAAAGCTACACTATTACTATCTGGCTCTTTATGGAAATGCTTGCTTTGTAGAGAACTTGCTGATGTTCTGGCTCTGCCCTAGTGGGCTCCTGTCGGCTCCTATCGGAGTCAGTCACACTGTGAATGCACAAGACTCTGGCTTCCAGGGAATGCCTTGGAGTCTGCTGTGATTTTCCCCTCCTGCCCACATATCTGGGAAGGCCTATTTTAGATGATTCAGTTATTTCTCCATTACCTCCAAATCCCCCAGACACTGAGAGGGGTTAACTCAGGGGTTTCTTTGGAGGTTCATGGAATGTGTTTGTGCTTTTGCCTGACACTTCCGTATCACCACTTGCTTAGAATATCAAGTTCTAGAGTAGGACCCATTTTCCAACTTTGTCGTCACTCAGACTGGAAAGGAAATTAAGCTCAAAAAAGACTATTGAAAGCTCTAATAACCAGATCAGAAGCTTTAGAATGGGAGTTGCTTTCTTTCCACAGGTTTCTTTTGTAGATCCTCCTCATTGTTGTTCTCCCTCTTCCAAGGTAAGCTGTAGGTGCTTATTATAGTAGCAGTGTCTTGAATGAATGTTGACTGTTTTGGTGAGAGTTCAGGGGGGTAACGTCAGTGGATTTTGGAGACATGATTTCAGTTGTTGTCACCTTTTGTTTCATACTCAGAGAGACAGGAGAATAGCTACAGCGAAACCTGTGAGAGCTGGAACTCAGAAGCTTTGTTGTTGTTGTTATGTGCCATTGAGTCGGACCCGACTCATAGCGACCCCTCCTTGGGTTTCCAAGGCAGTATCACTACGGAAGTACATTGCCCCACCTTCCTTCCAAGGAGTGGGTTTGAACCGCCAGCCTTCTTGTTAGCAGTCAAGTGCCTTAGGCACTATGCTACCAGAGCTCCCGGAACTCAGCACAGCACTGCATTGTTTTTCCAGGTCTCACAAATTTATTGCCTTTGACATGGTGCAATCTTACCACTTTTTTTTTTTAAATAATTTTCTTTGAAAAATTCTACCTCAGGAAGTGTTTCATTGATTTTGTAGGACTGGAAAAGAAACTAAATCATTTTTTATGACTTGCATGGTTTTTTTTTTTCAAATTATATACAGATATATGCATATGCTACCCAAATATATGAGTAAAATTCACTTGTACTTATATTTCTTGGAACTATTTCTGGCTTTTGCTATCTGTACTTCCTTGTATTCAGGTTGCAGAACCAATAATTTTCTGTCTACATCTCATAGGTTCTGGCTTGCAAAGATTATTTAATAGACTGAAGTATAGTCGGCCCTCTGTATCCATGGGTTCCTTATCAGTGGATTCAACCAACCACTGATTGAAAATATTCAAGGGATTGACAAAAAAAAAAAAAAATTAAATGGTCCAAGCAATCCCTCAAAAGTTAGTTCCAGCTTTCACAGCTTTTAGTGTATAATACTTAATCTGTCTGCAAAAGAAGCAGGGAGGCAACATCTTCCAACTTCCTCTAACTCCACAAGAGAAGGACAGAATCACTCTCAGCAGCCCAAGGCCTGTTCCTGCAAGGCCAGACATTCTGCCTTCCTCCAACCCTGACACCAACCATTCCTCCCACAGCACCCACCACCTCTCTGCTGGGCTCAGCAATTTGTTGCAGTGGCCACACAGAACTCATAGATTATGGAGTTTATAAAGGAAGCAACAGGCTACAATTCAAGCTCAGGAATGCACTAAGTCTCTCCTAGCCAGCTGTCTGTCAGCCAGCAGTCTCTTTCAGTAGCACATCTCTCAGCAGTGCGTGTCTCTCTCTCAGTAGCATGTCTCGCTCACGTCTTTCAGCAGCGTGTTTCTCTCAGCAGTGTGACTTTCTCAGCTGGCAATCAGAGGGATTCCTTCTGCCTTTAGGAGGGCTCCTTTTGAGCCTGGAAGAGTGGCCAAACTAACCACTTCCAGCATAAGAATTCTATACACCTGAGAGAGAGTAAACTTCCCAGAAGATTGCTTTGTGTTGTTGCTCCAGGTGGATGACTTTAATAAGCAGCTACTCAGCTGCTCACTACAAATGGGGGGGGGGGTTTACAGAGACTATGGCTAGAAGAGCCATGCCATGTAATTTACTACACCACAGGCCATCCCCTGGCTTTTCTAACCATTATCCCTTTTATACTTCAAAAATCAACATCCCCTTCACCATCAATTTAAGAATAACCACACCCATGAAAGCATATAAGTCAGCCACTTCATGCCTTTATCTCCTCCCATTTTAGATAGCTAATTTCTAATTTGTGCATCCCTATCAAACCAGTACTATGAGGACACAGGCATGTTCCTTTCTCTCTTGAGAATCTTCTGTTCTGCTTCGGAACTTTGGGCATCTGCATCCATAAACAAGGAAAGTCCAGCCCAGTACAAGCCATCAAATTGCAGCAACATAACACCAACTCAGTGTCAACCATCTTCCTCTTTGCTTGGTTGAGTTCTGGTCAGCTCAGTCCTAGCCATCCCACCTAGGTCATGGGTACCAGCTGCCAAGTTTTTTTTTCTTTTCTTCTTTCTTTCTTTCTTTTTTTTTAAATTGTGATTTGGGTGAAGATTTACAGAGCAAATTCACTTTCCATACAGCAGTTCACATATACTTTGTCTCATGACATTGACCACAGTTTACCACAATGCTACAGCTCCCCTCCCACTTCCTCCCCATAGTTACCTCTTCCCAGTCTCACTGGGAAGTCTGTCTCACTGTTAAAAAACTTGTTCTCTTTTCTTTAGAGCAAACGTTTGCTTTTTTTTTCTGTAAAGAGCTAGATGATAATATTTTAGGCTTTGTAGGCCATGTACTACTCTCTGTGACAACTATTCAGCTCTCCTATGTTAGTGGGAAAGCAGCCATAGACAGTATGTAGACAAATGGGTGTGGCTGTTACCCAATAAAACTTTATTTACAAAAGTAGGTGGCAGGCTAAATTTGACCCATGGGTAGCTTTCCAGCCTCTGTTTTAAAGGATCTTACAAACTCATTGAGCGCTCTGGTGGTATAGTGCCTAAGGCATTTGACCGCTAACCAGAAGGCTGTAGGTTCAAACCCACCAGCCACTCCTCAGAAGGAAGGTTGGGCAATTTACTTCTGTAGTGATACCACGTCAGAAACCCAAGAAGGGGTTGCTACAAATCAAATTGAATCGACAGCTGTATATTTGGTGTTTTGGTTACAAGGTCATTAGGATTTTGATAACTTGTCAGCATCACAATAATTTACAGCAGTCCAGAGGTTTTTACTGAGAAATGCTCGCTTTTAAAACTCTACGCTATGCACAGGGAAAAAGTAACCACAGGGAGGAAATGGGAAGAGAGCTATTACATTGTGGGGATTACAGTCAGTGTCACAAAACAGAATGTTTATTAACTGTTGAATGGAAAATGAATATACTTTGTAAACTTTCACCCATATCACAATTTAAAAAAAAAAAAAAAATCTACGCTGTGAAGAATCCTGGAATGAACGTTGTCTGCGTCATTATCCTCTAATGTTCGGGATAAGTGTATTTCCTGATTTTACAAGTTCAGCCATTCCCAGCTTCTCTCAGGCCCATATTTCCTCCATCTCCTTTTCTGTCCCATTTCTGAAACAGCTTCTTCTCTCTTACCTTTCCTTACTTAATCCTTTCCTTTGTTTTGTTTAGTTAGCTATACCCTTTCCATTCTGTTTTTCCCTCTGTCTTGTCTTTTAGCATCTAGAGATGGGGATGGAGGGTGCACAAAGGAAATAAAAGATGTTCTTGAGCAACTAGTAAATAAATTGGCAAGCCTAAGAAAAATAGGCAGGAACTAAGCAGGGAATATGAGTACATTACTAGAGGGTCTGAAACAAACTCAGCCTGCTTCCCTTTTTACCCATCTTCTCCTGCCCTCCAGCTTCCACCAAACAAGACTGGCTCTCACAGCCTCCAGTCCTTGCAGCCTACTCAGCCATGGCAGGGAAAGCCTGAGGCTGGGAGCCTGCAGGCAAAGGCTGTTGGGCCACTGTCTACTTTCTGCCCAGTGTTCTTCCCTCCCTCACCAGGCCTTCCCTGCTGGCTTCCCCTCCCACTGCCCTGGATAAAGGGTGACACTGGCCTGTTGTTTCCTGTTGCAGGACCACCTTCTACAGTGCTTATTTCAAGCTGTGCAGTGTTCTAACGAGAACTGTCAGCAACCAGTCGTACGGAAAGATCTGAAAGAGCATTTGAGCACGTACTGCCAGTTTCGAGAAGAAAAATGCCTTTATTGCAAGAAGGGTGTGGTGGTCATCAACCTGCAGGTAGAAATAGCAGTCTTCTTATTGGGGGCTACCTTCTGCCTGAGTGATTACAATGGATCAGGTGGTATATCAGGAGCCCATTTCTGGATTTATTTCTGTGCATACACAGGTTTTAAGAATAAGATTACCAAGTTTGCTGGTTTGATAGAGCCTGGTGAGACCCCTGAGACTATGGCTACTAGTTACCCTTCAGGTCTAGAACTGAACTCACTCCTGTGGCTTCCAGCCAAACAAGACAGGCATATGGGGTGAACATTTATATCAGGTGGATGCACTCCTTGGAGCTATCAATCATGGGAGAACAGGAGGGCAGTGTTTGCACAGGGAGATAGCTCAGGGAGACAGGATTGCATGGGAGGAAAGAACACAGGGAAGAGGTAAGTACAGGAGGAAGTGGGAAGAGAGCCATTACATTGTGGGAAATTGTAGTCAATGTCTTGAAACAAAATGTGTATGAACTGCTATATAGAAAATGAATTTGCTCTGATTTTCACCCAAATCACAATAAAATTTTTGTTTAAATTAAAACATAAAAAGAAAAAATAAAGAATACGTTTATCAGTTTGGCAAGGATGGCAGGAATGATGGTACAATTTAAAGAATCAGTATCACCAAATTGTACGTTTGGTTTTTTTTTTTTTTTTTTGGCATATATTTTGTTATATGTATTTTCACTACATTTTTTATAAAAAGGGATACGTTTATCTGAGAGAACTTCTGTGATAGCTTACAGCCTTCATGTTGACAGGACTTTTATCGTCAATAAAAATATGATTTGCGAAGTGTGTAAGAAGTGATGCTAGGCCCTGGGTCACAAGAGGTGATTACGCTGTCTGTCTTCAGGATGTGCATGATCTAACAGACGAGGCAGGATACAGGCATAAAAAGAGAGCACAGGATACTGTCTACTTGTGCCAAGAGACTCAGACTGATAACTCCCACAGTCTCTGTGAGTCCTATGCCTACTGACCTTCTTTTATATATATGTATTACCATTTAGTGACATTTATTATATTCTTTGAACTATGTAACCATTCTTACCCTGCTTTTCTGAATTGTTCCTCCCCTGTTAACATGAACTCATTGCCCTCTGTGGTTCCTATCCAATCTTTTTGAGTTGCTGTTGTCCATTTGATCCCATATAGATAGTTCTTAAAAGAGCTTAATGCTCAAAGCAGACCTTTTTTCACTAGTTAAGATAAATGATTATTTGATTTTAGGAAAACTACAGGGGATATTTTTGGTTTAAGGTTTAAAAATTATTTCAGAGCAGTAGTTTCAGGGGTTCTTCCAGCCTTCATAGCTCTAGAAGGTCCATGAGAATTTGAAATTCTGTTCTGGATTTCCCCCCTTTTGATCAGGATTCTTCTGTGAACTCTGGCCAAAATGTTCAGTAAAGATTAAGCAGGCACCATCCAGCTCTTCTGGTATCATGACAAAGGAAGCAGATTTTCATGGAGGCAGTTAGCCACACATTGCATTTCCTCCTCCTATTTGTTAATCTCCTTTTCCTCTGTTGTTCCAGGTGAATAAAGACTGTGCCTCGAATGGCTGCTTTCAAGCTTTTAAGACCCCAGGCACTACACATCAAACTAGAAAGTAGAGCAGAGCAAGTAAACATGTTAGGCCATTTAACTGGGATGTCCCATGAAACCATGACCCTAAACCACCAAACCAAGAAAACAAATCCCATGAGGCTTTTGGTTGTACATAAACAGCCAGCAGCTACTCTCTTATTATTATTATTATTATTGATAAAATCCCGGACCTTCTTTCGAAATAGTTAAAAAATTTAATTTTCAGTTGAATTCCTGTATCAAGAAAGCAGCCATCTTTAATACTTTTTTGGAATTAGGCCATAATTTTCTGCAGAGGGTACACTATATAACATATATACCCCAAAAGATATATGTATGTATAAAGAATCTTTATTTATTTATTTTTTTCTCTCCCTGTAACTTTATTATATTTCTTGTGGGCCCTGAACAAAGTCAAACTCTTTAACAGAGTATAAGAGCCATAATATATAAAAGAATCTTTAGAAGCAAGAGTTGGCTTTGTTTCATCACACTTTCTGTGTTTCAGAATCATGAGGAAAATTTATGTCCAGAATACCCAGTATCTTGTCCCAACAAGTGTTTGCAGATTATTCCAAGAACTGAGGTAACTATAAATACCAATCTACTCTGTAGACTGGGTGTAAGATAATAAACATTGTGGTGCATGTTTGATAAAATCCTATAGGCAGAGGCCTATGTCTTAACTATAACTGTGTGTCTGTCTTCCCTACCCTTTTCCCTGCTGACTCTTCCCAGCTTTCACCTGTTCTCCTTCCCAATCTAGCTCTGGTTCCCTCCCTCCTTCCCACGACACTCTTGGCTCCCTGCTTGCTGCAGCTGCACTAGGCAGTTGGAGAATTGGTAGTGAATTTCTATAGCTGAGACTTTTCATTTCACAGGTAGATGAGCACCTGGCTGTGTGTCCTGAAGCAGAGCAAGACTGTCCTTTTAAGCACTATGGCTGTACTGTAAAGGTAGGACTATGTCTACATTCTACTATATAATGCATTTGAAGAATTCGTTTTATTCTTTGACTCTATTCAGAGTGCAGAAGGATGTACAGTTATGAGAATTGCAATTATTTGTAATTCTGACTCCATCGCCTCTACTAGGTTTTGGAAACTTCTGGAGTCACTTCTCCCATGATTACATACCGTGGCTTTATGGTTCCTCAGGCTTTCAATCACCAAGTATTTTAAAACAAACTTCATTTCAAGTCTTAAAAATATATGCTGTTGCCTTGTAAATACTTTTAGAGGTATTATTCAGTAAATTACATGAAATAAAATAAAACTCGATTTCCATGTAAATCTTTTTAACAGTGTATTTTAATGTGTTATCCATCTGAATCAGATGGATCAGTTTTACACATTAAAATGTAGCATGTATCATGCTATTAAGAACTCTGGTAGTGTAGTGCCTAAGGCACTTGACTGCTGACTATAAGGCTGGTGGTTCAAACCCACTAGCTGCTTCTCGGAAGGAAGGTTGGACAATCTACTTCCATAGTAATACTGCCTTAGAAACCCAAGAAGGGGTCACTGTGAGTCAGGTCTGACTCAATGACACATAACAATAACATCATGCGATTATATCATTGGAAATTTTCTATAAATCTAAAATTATTCCAAAATGAAAATTTTATTTTAAAAAAATCATAAAAACTATGAGAAAAAAATATAAGTGAATTTTTTTTATTCTTAAAATAAAGAAGGACTTTCTAAGACAACTAACACAAAACCAAGAAGCCATAATTTTGATTAAATTTAACCACAAATATTAAAAGGTTCTGTATGATTTTTTAAGGAGCCGTAGTAGCGTAAATGTGCAAGTACTCAGCTACTAACTAAAAGGGTGGTGGTTCAAACCTAGCCCGTGGCTCTGCAGGAGAAAGACCTGGCAATCTGCTTCTGTAAAGATTATAGCCTAGAAAACCCTACAGGGTAGTTCCACTCTGTCACATGGGGTCATGATGACTTGGAATTGACTCGATGGCATACAGCAACAGTATCATACGATTTTTTAAAAATAGCACAAAGTAGAATGTCAACCAATAAGCTGGGGGGGGGGGTAGGCAGCATATAGTTGCCACCAATGCTATTTTTCTTAATATATAAAAATTCTTACACATTATTCAACTTAATAATCAACTCCATGGTGGAATGTGGTGTGAGCAGCCTTAGTGATGTGGTCTGCTTCCAGTATATAAGAAGATGCTTTGAGAAAAGTCTCTGAGCTTTTTGGCATGCTTAGATCATACAATAAGCTGAGTCTTCATTCAGCAAGCAGCCTGCAATGTTGCGTGCTGATCTTGGGACTGTTTCTGGACTTAAACTAATGCCCGCCATGTTGCTTAATGATCTTGGAAATATGCCATTTTACTTGTCAATCTTGGGTTTGTCACCCTCAGCAGCCAGCAGCTGTCTGAGTTAAGAGAAGCCTCCAGGTTCAGTGGGCCTGGAGCAAGAGACAGAGCTGAAGTCCAAGGTCGAGGGGCTTTCATCCATCCCCTAGAGCTGGCACTTTGAACTTGGACTTCCAGCCTCCTACACTGTAAGAGAATAAATCCCTGTTTGTGAAAGTCATCCACTTGCAGTGTTTTCTATAGAGCAGTACTAGAGAACCAATACAGAATTATAGAGTCCTAAAGCTGGGGAAGAGACTTGGAGGAAGTCCTTTTTTCCTGCAATCCACCTTGAGACAGGTGAATGTGTACACTATTAAAATAAACAAAATTGCTAGGTTCTGTTTTGGCAGATTTTCCTACCCTCCCTGTTTTGGTTATCTCGTGCCGCTCTGACAAGAATATACCACAAATGGGGTGGCTTGAAGAAATAGGAGTTTATTCTCTTACAGTTCGGAGGCTTTAAGTCCAAGTTCAAAGAGCCAAGCTCTAGGGGCTGGGTGAAAGCCTCTCAACCTTGGGCTTCAGCTCTGCCTCCTGCTCCCGGCCCACTGAAGCTGGAGGCTTTTCTTCACTCAGCTAGCTCCTGACTGTTAAGGCTGACAAGCCCAAGGTTGACAAGTAAAAAGGCACAGTCCCAATGTTACCAGACCACATGGCAGGGCATTGATTCAAATCCATTGAAGGTCCCAGGGTCAGCAGGGCATGGCAGGCTGCTGAACAATGACACAGCTACATGCAGTGTGTCATAAGCTAGAGACCATTCCCAGAGCTGTTTCTTATATATGGGAAGCAGACCACATACCCAAAGCAGCTACTCAGCTGCTCCAATAGATTCCACCATGGAGTTAATTACCAATCTGATCATGGAGAATAACTAGTTAGCTGCCCAGCCACTCAACCAGGCCCAGCCAAGTTGACACCCAAACTTAACCACCACACTTCCTCAATTTTGAAGCCTTTCAACAACTTGACATATTTTTTCTTTCTGTATAAAAGGATAAACGGGGGAACCTGAAGGAGCATGAGCATTCAGCGTTGAGGGACCACATGCTTCTGGTGTTAGAAAAGAATTTCCAATTAGAAAAACAGGTAAATATTCAAGGGTTCAAATATAGGGGGAAGCCACAGAATTGCTGGGAGTTGCTTGCTTTATGTTGGTATTTTTATATTCTCTGTTTCATTATGTCAACTGCAGGGAAATGTTTTTAAAATAGACTCTGGATAATAGAACATTAGAACTAGTAGTGCCTTTGAGATTGTTGGGTCTAGTCCCCCCATTCAACAGATGGAATAACTAAGCTCAAAAATTGTATGATGTGTTTAGAACTTCTAAGAATTGGATCTTAAACCTACGTCCTCTAAATCCAGTGACCCTCATGGTATACCACTTGTCTGCACACCTCTTAGTTGATACTGGCTTGATGTTTTTAAATTAAATCAGTATTACTATGAAACAACAGTTAACTATCTGTTCTAGAGTTACAGGCAGTCCCCAGGTTACAAACAAAATCCATTTCTGTGTCGTTGAGAATTTGTGAGTCAGTCAGAACAGGTACATACAGTTCTTATTTAGTCTTAGTTTAGTGCAAGAAAAGACTCAAAACATTTTCAATGATTTAAAAAGCTGTACATGCCACAAGTGAAGGCGATAGTGATGAAGAATGTTGTGAGTAGGGGTTGGTTCAAATGTTTCCAAGTGAGGACAAATGTATATAACATGTAAGCAGGGCTTCAAAGTTGAAGCCCCTGCTCAAAGATGGCAGCCAGCTGTGCTGTTATGAATGTGTGTGGCTTTCAACAACCCTGACAATAATCCAGTCTTATGCATCAGGCTCCTGGAAAGGATCACTATGCATCCAGGGCTTCCACCCATAATTTTTCCATCCCAGTTACCATGACATATCACCCACATTGTAAAAATTCCATTCTGTTTCTGTTTTGTTTTGTTGGCCAAGACAAAACCAGTTCAAAGCCTTGCATTATATGACAAGGAAGAGTTGTCTGCAGTCAGACCATTTGTAACCTGGGGACTGCCTGTATATATTTTGGATTTTTATACATATCTTATTAAATCTTAACTTTTGCCTTTGAAAAAGCTTTCAGCCTAATAAATAAATGCATAATACTTGTTTCATAGAGTTATAATAATAAACTGAAATTATGTATGCCTACCTTAATGCCAGGGAGCTCTGGTAGCATAGTGCCTAAGGTACTTCACTGCTAACCAGAAGGCTGGTGGTTCAAACCCATCAGCCATTCCTCGGAAGGAAGGTTGGGCAATCTACTTCCATATTGATACTGCCTCGGAAACCCAAGGAGGAGTCACTATGTGTCAGGGCCGACTCGACAGCATACAACAACAACAACAACCACCTTAGTGCCTGAGACATTTGTAGTAGACCTCAGTATAGTCAGTTCCTGGGTAGAAAGTCTGACTTACATACAACTCCTCCTTGCCCTTTATGCAGGGTTTTGAACTGGTTTTGTCATGGCCAATGAAGCAAAATGAGAACAGATCTGAATTTTTATAATTTTGATGATTCATCACAGTAACCAGAAGGAAAAAGTTACAGGTTGAAGCCCTGAAATGGGAGACTCAGAAGAGGCGTAGTGAGCCCTTTCAGGAGACCGATGGCATGAGATTGGATCGTCAGCAAGACTGTGGAGAGCTACACACATTCAAAGGGACCACCATCATTGAGCTTCCTCTGCTATGACTGAACCAGGAAAACTGGTTTGAAGCCCTGCTTTTAGACAATTGAAACAGCCCCAACTCGCAACAAATTCTTCATCACAATAACCTTTACTTGCTCCACATGCAGCTTTCCAATAATTGGAAAGGCTTTAAGCCTTTTCTTGCACTAAACTAAGGCTAAAAAAGAACCATATGCACCGGTTCCAACTGACTTACAAGTTCTCAAAGACAGAGTTTGAAACAGATCTCATTCATAACCCAGGGACTGCCCATAAATGTTAATTCTATTGAGTAATTATGAAAGTTAATTATTTTGTTAGAACCCCTATGAGGATCAGACTTATCAAGCTCACTCAGGAAAGAAAACCATCCATCTGTGGAAAGGGAGCTGGATTTTACTACTATGAATTATCTTCTTATGTCTCTGATTCCATATTAAAAGTAAGCATGTGAGTTCCACAGAGTCAGATCCTGGAGAAAATTAGAAAGACTGATAATCACAGTAACTTGAGCAGAAAGCATAGTGCCTATTGACCTTCCCCAAGTTCTTTCTGTCTCAGTCCCCTCATCTACCCATCCATTCATTCAACAAACTGGTCAGGTACTGTGCTAGTGGCTAGAGATAACTTAGTTGAGGAAGACATTGTCCCTACCCAAAAGAACTCACAGAAATGTGAACAGATAGCTAACTGTGCCTCAAAGGACATGAACAAGCCATTTAGTAATAGGGAGTTGACTGAGGATTTTAAATAGGAAAATGCTTGGTCAGCTAATGATTTTTTTTTAAAAGTTGGTAGTGTGTAAAATCATTAGGAGGGAGAGAAGAGAATGGAGACAGAGGGAGCAGGCAGAATCAATAATTCAGACAATGTAGCAGTAGAACCTGGTAGTTGATAAACAGTGAGGGCTCCAGAGCTGGAATACCTGGGTTCAAATCCTGACTCCACACTAACAAAGTGAGGTTGTGAAAGCTACTAAACTCCCTCATCCCCAGTTTCCTCATCTGAGTTGTTTTGGGGATTAAATGAGATAATAGCACTTAGTACAATGCCTGGAACATAATAAGCATTTCAGTATTAGGTGGAGGCAGGATGTTACAGGTGGTGATTGTGATGATGAAGGCTCAACGACGGCTGTGTCAGTGGTGATGAAAAGAGGACATTGAGAGACATTTCTGAGCTTGGAAAGGCATGCTGTAAGCTTGTTAGGTAGAGAGCCTGGTTACATTATTAACTGAGGTAGAAATTACAGAGCAGAAGCAGGTGAGAGGTGAGAGTGAGGAGAGGAGACACTGAGTTTGCTTTTGGACAGGAGGATATGTCTGGAGACATGTGGAAGTCTGTTCTGGGACCTGAATAGAGGCATTTGAGGCCAGAGATCAGATAGTTGCTATAGCCATTTTTGCATTCATTCATAAAACATGTACGGAATGCCCCTGGTGTGCCAGGAATGGTGCTAGATGCTGGGGATAGAAACATAAGCAAGACATGTTGCATTTTTGTTAGGTGCCCATTGAGTCAGCTCTGACTCATAGCAACCCTGTGTACAACAGAATGAAACCTGCACCATCCTCACAATCCTTGCTGTGCTTGAGCCCATCGTTGCAGCCACTGTGTCAATCCATCTCGTTGAAAGTCTTCCCCTTAAGTTCTGGCAAGATGGCGGACTAGGCAGAAGGACTGCACAGACCCTCTTCAACAAAGAAAAGGGAAACCAATTAACACAGACACAGAATATAATCTTGGACCCGTGAGCCTTGAAGGGAAGGATACAAAAGTGGACTAAACCCCAACTAGCAGAAGAATTTGCGTGAAAATACCAAAAAAGGAGACACAC